TTACACAAAAAATAAAGAATTTCATATAGTTAATTTGATACTAATATCGATATATTTTTGTCAAATTTTTATGATATCTTCAAACATATATTTTATTTGAAAATAAAAACACAATCGCTTTCTCAAAATCACATAAAACCATATTATAACATCGATTGAGATAAAGAATAAAATGAAATATTAAAATCACGATGTATCTCGCTGCATTGCGCGAGCACGCTTCTAGTATTATTAATGAACGGTTTTAAATATATTATGATATATTAAAACTTATTAACTTTTATACATGTCTTTTTAGACATTGTACCTTTTTCAACTAGTTTTTGTCAAATATTTTTAGTTTATTAGTTATCAGTTAATTTACCAAACATAGCTTTAGATGCTCTCGATGATGGGATTGGCATATCAGTATATATAAAATATAAACGAAACAGTTGAAAAAATGACCGCTTTCAGAAGGACTTTTTTATGGCACGTGAGAACCATCGTCACCATTAGGTAATCGTTTATTAGGTAATAGTCACCACCTCTATTTACTTTATCAGGTAAAATTCTCAAATCAAAATAGATAACGCTTACCAGATAAAAGTATTCTCACTCACTTACTGCATAAGATTATTGGTCCTTGTTATACCTCATATTCAGTAAAATTCTTAGTCACTGTCATGTCCACCTGCTAAGGTAAATGACACTTGATAAGCGCTTATTATATAAGCATTTTGTAAATGGTCCATGAGTCTCTGTTATTCGCTTAAACTATAAAATTTCACATATATTTGTTTAAATGCAACGTAAAACGCATAACGTGTATAAGATGTGTTAAGCAACCTTCCCGCAAAAGTTGCCCAAAAAAGTGATAAAATGTATAACAACTGAAAAACAATATAAGTGATTCAATTGAACGAACTAGAAAAGGTATGAATGATCCCTCCGTCACCCCAGAATCAAGGGGGCGATCTTGTAGAATAAATGCAAATAAAAAGCATCTTTTACTCAATAGCGAAGAGCCTTTTTTTCATGCTTTTCTCCGAGATCTGGAGAAAGCTGAAATCAATAGGATTTCCAATACGAATAACCTCTGAGTTTTTTCAGATTCGGCGAACATGGATGATATTTGTTGAATATTTATAAAAAACGAAACTTAATGACATGATAGTAAAAGTGTGTATTCCGTTATCTGGCAAACTTCTGTCAGTTATGTGGAACTAAGGAGGTGTGGAGTGCACACTTACAAATGTTGCCCCTATCACCTTGGATAGTCATGAATGTGGGGGTCAAATGGGTTGCACCCTGCCTTGCGGGGTCCTAGGGGCTGCGCCCTTGGCAAAGTTCCAAGGGGCTAATCCCCTTGGCGGTTTTTCGGATCTAAGTTCTAAAAGACCTAGAAAATTTTCAAGTATTGTGTATTTTTCAACCATTGATAAGCCATAGCTGAAGGTATTATTTTACCTGTCGTTGAAGAGCCTCAATTGTTGTTGAAAGGCCATCGTTAAAGATGTATTTTTCAGAACCTACGATTTGGTTGTAACTAATTTTTGACCTTAAAACCAAAAATTATCTCAATACGAAATTCGTGAACCCAATACAAACAAGGGGCGAATTGTTATGGTCAGAAAGTGATTTATGACACGATTCTTGAGTCTTATTCGATCTGTAAATCATTCCTTATACACAGTCCGTAACAATTCCAACCTAAATATAAGGTTTTTAGGATCATATTCAAAATTCATTATTTGTAAAATTAAAATACTTAACAAAAAATACTTATAATTCAACCCAACTCGTTCTCACTCAGTTTTAACTTTTTATCTTCCATCATACTGTTACTTAGTGCTGTAAACGAACGCGAACGAACGCGAACGGAGGCTTGTTCATGTTCGTTCGTTTAACTTAACCGAACAAACGAACGAACACGAATGGTAAACGAACGAAAATCTTTGTGTTCGTGTTCGTTTGTTTAGAAATCAGGTGTGTTCGTGTTCGTTTATGTTCGTTCGTTAACATGCTAAACGAATGTAAACGAACGAACATAAACGAACGGGTTAAACGAACATAAACGAACGGGTTGAACGAGCATAAATAAATATTATTTGAATTCAAAGTAAATAAATAAAAGATTATATATTAAATTTAATATATAAACAAACATAAACGAACGAATATAAACGAACGGTAAATGAACGAACTTTCACGAACATAAATGAACGAACGATACTCTTGTTCATGTTCGTTCGTTTAACTAAACGAACCAAAAAAATTGTTCATGTTCGTTCATTTATTAAATAAACGAACATAAACGAACTTCCCGCCGAACGGTTCACGAACGGTTCACTGAACGTTCGGTTCGTTTACAGCCCTACTGTTAGTTGATAATTTTGAGGGAGGGAAAGAAAAATAGCACACGGGGTCATTTCTAAGAAAGGACGGGTTGGGTGCACGCGCAGGGCCCAGTTTTTTTTACTATATAATAGTATTTTAAAATTTTAGGAAATAAAAGAGATAAATTTATTTTGTATCTAATAGGAAGGGGTTAACATTTCTATGTAAAGATGATATGATGGATATTATTAATTTAAAAATAACTACTGATTAATTTTGCATCTAGAAATACTCGAAAAACGATTTTAAATGAATTATTAGTATTTCTTTAATTCAATGTTATTTCTGATGATAAAAACAATATATTGAAGATTTGTACACGTCAAAACCCCTTTTTACATATTATATTATATAGCGGGTTGGATATTCAGGTTAATAAAAAAATGTCAAAAATAGGTCTAATAACACACAAAAATCGAAACAATACAAAAAAAAATTGTTTTGAGAAAAAAATATGAAAAGGGGGTTATAGGTCAAAATTTGCAAGTATTACAAAGACGAGGGGCCTTTAGTGTAAAAAAGTAAAAATAAAGAGTAACTATTGGAAAAAACTTAAGCTCTCAAATGGCGTCGCCCGGGTTCGAACCGGAGACCTTCAGTGTGTTAGACTGACGTGATAACCAACTACACCACGACACCATTGTGGTTTACATTTTAAATGATTTTTAAAAATATCCACTTTAATTTAAAAATCTTTTAAAAAATGGATACAAACGAAAAATAATTTTCACATTTAATATTAAATAAAAAAATATATAAGAACTGATATTACTTTTTTGTCCTCCGTCTCAAATAACTTTACGGTTTTCATAATGAACACGATATACGATTTTAGATAGGGGTGAATTGGTAATTTACGAGTTTTTTTTTAATGTCGTGTAGTGATTAATAATAATTGGTACTTAAAATCTTATACTATCTACCAACCGATTCTATTTGGTACCAATTTTTTTATTGGTACATGTGGTGTTAGTTTTATACCAACTTCAAATTACATATATGAAAATTTGTGTTTAAATTTTGAGTGATATTTTGTGTTTTTATGTAATATCAGTTATGTTTAAGGGTTTTTAATTACGAGGAGTGAGAGTTGTATGTTTGAACAAAATAGTTAAAGATACAAAGTTTAATATTAATACATAAAAAATTCAAAAGCTAATAAATAATTGTATAAGTCGGTATCACAGTATTACTGTGGTATGTGATTTCTAATACTGTGTATAACCAAGTTTGTATATTTGATATGGTATTACTAAACGATTGTTATTGATACCATTTTAATTGTTACCCAAAATAAAAATCAAATTAATTTTTTTTTTCATACAATTTACGGTATTTTAAAACAAATGTATGTGTGTTGGTTTCTTTTACGCAAAGAAAAGGTTCAATTTAGAAGCAAAACGGAGCAACAAAAAGCCCTTTGTTAGGAGAAAAGGGGCACAGAAAGCACACACAGACCAAAAGCCAGCGACCATCCATGGCAGCAACTTCTCAGCTCACTAGAAGCTTTACATCCGTTTCTCTATCTCCTGTCACTCTCTCCCATTTGCCTAACTCTTCTGCTTCTTCTTCTTCCTTTTCATTCATCAGCAACAACTTTTGTTCCCACAAACCCTCATCGAGACGAATCTTAACAATCAGAAAAAATGGTGTTTTCAAGATCCATGCCATGACTGCTTCGTTTGGATCTCGATTGGAGGAGACCGTGAAGAAGACTGTTACGGATAATCCAGTTGTTGTCTATTCCAAAACTTGGTGTTCGTAAGTCGTTTTTAGGTTTTTTCTTTCTTTTTGAAATTTGAGTTGGATTTGATTCGGCTTGTTTTAATTGGGTTTTTTTTTTGTTTCGAAATCGTGAAGGTATTCTTCTGAGGTGAAATCGTTGTTCAATCGACTTGGTGTGCAGCCACACGTTATTGAATTGGACCAAATGGGTAAGCGTTCTTCGTTACAGTTTTGTGATAGAAATTGGGGATTTTATGTTTGAGATGCATCAAAGCTAAAATTTCTGAATCATAACATAGATTGAATTGTGGCGTAGTGGTCGAGTTCCTGGGTACATGACAATTGTGGCTACTGAAGTCAAAATTTGTGGGGATTAATCCAGACACCCTTCTAAAGAAACCTTCCCTACAAAAGCACTTTTGGGTTTCACATATTCTCACATGGTATCAGAGCTGGTGGAAGCACATACACTCTTTTGCAATATGTACTCGTGTAGCCCCTTGGCCTTCTAACCACCTCTCAACATCGGTTAGCCCATCTGGCATCCTTTGTAGGGAGCTTGTTAAAGCCACATATAAGCTAGACTTGGACCATTTATTATTTATATACGGTGGATCCTTCTTTCTCTTTCTCAACCCCTCTTTTGGAGGTCTATATGCTTTTGCTATTCATCATTTCCTTTTGTGGGTCTCACCTCGGGGTAGAGCACATGTCTGCATACATCTGACCCCCGACCTACTTTCAAGGGTGATATATCAAATTTGTTTGGTTTGCTACTTATAATATGTTGAAAGAACAAAGACGCGATGGTGAGTCCTTTATTTATACTTGAAGTCAGGCAAAGTAAAGATGAACCCACGTAGCCGTAGCCGTTTCCCATCTATTCGGTTGTCTTATTACAGATTCGTTTATACGTGCCTATTGTTATGATGCCTACATAACCGCAGTTTAAGATACCAAATCTCTTTTTCTGGAAAGAACTAAACAAACATTTTTCCGGGAAATTTACAGAAATAGCCAATCTCCCAAGCTCTTTTCACTTTATAGCCATTTTCAGACCTCAATTTAGTTTTTAGCCAATCCTTACGCAGAATTCCACTTTCTGCGTAAGGATTCCACCTTTCTTATGCTGAAAACCGATCTTTACGCATATGTGTAAGTCTTCTGCGCAAGGATTGGCGACAAAGTGAAATGAGGTCTGAAAATGGCTAAAAAGTGAAACCCCTTTGGCAGATTGGCCATTTCTGTAAATTTCCCCATTCTTCTATACCTCTGAAGGGTGCTGAATTGCGATTATTATGCTACAGTTAAAACTGTAACGCGATGTATTATACATATTTTCAGTTGGCACTTCATTCTTGAGTTAAAGATGTTATCGCGAATAAAATGTTAGTTTAGCACTTCAATTTGGAAATAGTGAAGATGGTCTTATTTTCTTTCAGGTGCCCAAGGCCCGCAGCTACAGAAGGTCCTTGAACGGCTTACTGGCCAGCATACGGTTCCAAATGTTTTTATCGGTATGCATTAAGAATGTCATATTAATGCTCAATAGTTCCATTGGTTTTCATGCGGCTATGTTTGGCAAACTAGCTGTAAGCCAGATGACAATGTAAAATGACCTAAAGGGACATCTTAAAAAGATTAATTGGAAAAATATAAGGGGAATAATTGGGAAAAAATAGAAAAAGGTCCTTGGAGCTTATTGAAGTAGCGTTTCAAAAAGTTAGTTATGGCTAACCAAACGAGTCTTTTTCAATAAGTTCCAAAAATAAGGTAGCTTATGGTTGCCGAACATGGCCTAAGCATATGCCGGCCTCTTGAAGTGAACCAACCTCCATCATAGGCATTTACCATACCAATTTCTAATAGCGAGCAACCACTGTGCATGTTGTAGAACAGTGCAAAAGTCTTTTCATTTACGGCGAACAGATCATCCGTTCAAGATTTTTGTGACTGTTGGCCGTCAACTCCCTTTTTCAATATCAACCATATTCAAGAAGTTTTGAATCGAAATTCGGAAATAAAAACCAGTTTATAGCAACATTTGTTATATTATATTCGCTTTAATTTCTGACTTGGTCATTTTCTATGATTTCTTCGTCAACAGGGGGCAAACACATCGGCGGTTGTTCTGGTACCTTCTTTACCCATTCCTTTTTACTACTTCGGTTATTATCGATTCCATTTTTTTCACTCTTTTGAGATCTTTAGACCTGGTTGTGTGTGGGGGTTCGGTCCACGACCTAGTTAGCTCCAAAGGACGCTCGTGTCTTTGCTTATAATCGCATGTGATGGAAAATATAGTATCATATGATACGGGTGTTATTGTGTTTTTGTAAAATGTTGTGTTTGAACCCACCCCTAACTATTTTTATTCAAGTATGCAACTGTAAAAAGATACAAAGAAGCATGTTATTTGTTTTGCGAATAATTTGATTATATAACGTCTTTTTGTGGTCTGGTGCAGAAACCGTTAAGTTACATAGGAAAGGGGAACTCGAGGCTTTGTTGACCGATGCAAAAAATACATAAACCTCGACGAAATGTTCTTTTTCGAGTCGACATGTTTTCATCTTTATATAGAACATGACATTGCTTGTATTAATAAGAGAGATCCATTTCATCATCTACAAACTCTAAATGCACAATGATTTGTGATCTAGGGTTTTAATTCAAAAACCATCCTCAATTCTGTTTTCCATTTTGTCACCTCATAAAATCCTATGATCTTGATTTTGATCAACTTAGGGCTTTTTGCTAAATACTTATCGGGTAAGTGCTTATTGGGTATCACTTGCTTTACTGAATGAGTATGGCAAGAAGGGAGATTCTTACACGATAAGAGGCATAGTAAGGATCGAGAATCTCACTTGGTAAGTGTGGAAAAAATCTAGATCTAAATCTATATAGATACAAGGAATGTTCTTGCATAATAGTTACTGAAATTCGAAGAGGCGTATGCCTCGAGGCAAGGCGGTCCAAAAACGCGTAAGAGGCGATGCTTCTCAAGCCTTCAATGAGAAATATGTCTTGGTTGCGTTTGAGGCGTTTGAGGCGTCGAAAGCGGTTGTGAGTCGGTCAATTTATATATATCGAGAATTAGAAAACCAATTGTTTATCAAATGTCACAAATAATGAAATGTAAATTCATGATGAATGATGTCTATGAATATTTTAGGTTATTCATTATGAATAATTCATTAAATATCCAGATTCTGATTGCCATTTAAACATATTCCATGCATTTATGTACTATAAGTTTCACTCATGTATTTATATTTCATCTCTTTTAAAAAAAAATTATGGATTTATGTGGTTTTAAGAAAATGATATGGTATTCTATAACGTTTTCATTTTTATCCGTATTATATTATATCAGCAAGACTTAAAAGCTTGTCTTGTATTTGAATATGTCATCAGTTGGTTATAAATTAGTTTTATAAAAATTAAACATATTAATAAGTTGTATGTATGTATGTTTTTTTTATTAACCTGAAAATCCAACCTGCTATGCGAGCCGACTAATCCTAGGGCGACTACCTGCTTTGCAGATAGCCTAGAGTCATCGCATTTGAACATCTATGGCCACAAGAGGATTTTTATTCCTACTTGGATTTGAACCTGATACTTTTGACCTTTGGAGCTAAGTTCAACCCAATCAGGCACCACCCTTGTGGTTTATGTATGTATGTTGTATAATATAGTGAAAGTATTGTATGAATATATTCACGATTGAAATTTTGAAACGGGGGCTAAAAAATTTGAAAAAAAATTGTATCAATATAAATGTCAAATTAAAGAGAATAAAATACCATCTTTCAATATAATTTGTTTTATCATAAAACAAATTATGTTTAAGTTAATCTAGAGCTTCTTTTTAAATTAAAATAAATATGTGAACTTGTAGAAACTTGATCAGTTGATATGAACTATCCTTTTACCCTTTTCATCAGAACTTCTATTTTTATCGGAATCCAACCCTATATATAGGATGACGAAAGATTGTGTGAGAAAGAAAGTTAATGTAAGAATCATACGAAGTGATCTGGACCCTTAATCACTATTATTCTCAAACTCACTCATGAATCGCACTTGATACGTGGATTGATCCGGTACATCTTGGTGCATCTCATTCTAATGTGCATCCAAGGATGAAAATCTCTTTTTATGCTTCTTACCTTAACTTTCTTTCTCATCATAACTCAATCTTATGATATATATATATATATATATATATAGGGCCTAATCAAATGATAACTGATTAGTTTGTGGTAACTGAGAGGTCCAATCTCAACAACAAATCAACGGATAAATTAGAAAATTAATAATTATGGTAGTTTGAGTTAAAATTATAATTAGAGGGCATATTAGGTATTTTTTTAAAACTTCTCTCTCCTCTCTCCTCTCTCCAATCTCCGGCCTCTGGTGAAATCGGTATCACAGTATATCACAATGGGTATCACATTGTGTATTACAATAGGTATCGCATTGTGTATCTTTGTTTTTAAGGTTTGAGTTTGTATCATAGTTGGTATCACAATGGTATCACAGTATATCACAATGAGTATCACATTGTGTATCTTTGTGATTACTTGATACCTGCCGGATTAATGTTCACCGGAGGCCGAAGATTGGAGGTCGAAGAGATGAGAGATGAGAGAGGAGTTTTTTTTTAAAATACCTAAAATGCCCTCTAATTATAATTTTAATTCAAACTACCATAATTATTAATTTTCTAATTTATCCGTTGATTTGTGGTTGAGATTGGATCTCACAATTACCACAAACTAATCAGTTCTCTCTTGAATTGACCCATATATATATATATATATATATATATATATAATTAACAGGGAGTTTTAAATACACCCTCTAATTAGTATAAACCATACAAATTAATCTCAACTGTCTATCTAGTATAATTAATATATGAATTTATAAATATTTCGATTGTTTTCTGATTTAAAACGTTAATCATAATAAATGAACTATAATCATCCTTCATAATGTTCGGATAATAATAAATACTCTTATAATTTACATAAATATCTCATTTAATTGGTTCTATGCAGGGATGACAACAGAGCAAGTATTGACCGCGTAATGCATCTCCCATCCCCAACTCCGACCCATGTTTAATCCCTAGTCCCTGATCCCGCCTAATTAATTCCCGACGGATTTGAGGAACCTATCGGCTACCCGTTTTGTAAAAAATGATCTAATTAAACTATAAATTATGATGAATCATCACTATATTAATTATCAATATTGAAAATTAAAATATATTTGTTATTTAATAATAAATATATACATATATTCATTTATACACACTACATACATATATTAAATAAAATAAAAAAAATTAATCGGGGTTGTATTAAGGAAAGTATTGCCATCCCGACCCGTCCCAACCCTGCTTGAAGTATAAAAATAAATCTCAACCACAAGCGTGGTGTCTGATTGGTTTGAACTTGGCTTCAAAGGTCAAAAGTGTCAGGAGGTCTGAGGTTCAAATCCAAGGAGAAACAAAAATTCTTTTGTGGCCACAGAGGTTCAAATGCGATGACTCTGAGCTATCTGCAAAGCAGGTGGTTGCCCTGAGAGTCAACTAACCTCGTAAAACAGGTTGGATATCCAGGTTAATTAAAAAAAAAAAAAATTCCCGCCCCGTTACGGATTCTGGCCCCAACGGGTAAAATTTTATCTTTTTTTTTTCATATGATTTGACTAATTTTGTATTTAAAACTCGAAAGCAAGGTATACCTCATATATGGAAGGCTACACGTGGCTCCATATCAATCATCAAAAAGGAAAAAGCAAAAAAAAACAAATAATAAATGAAAATGAAAAATCAAAACAAACCAATAGGCATGGTGGTAGCAGCATAACTGTAGAAACCACCACTTGCTGGTTTCTCCGGCGACTGGTTGACTGACCTGACGCCATGTCTACGGTGGCGCAACTCGCTGTCGTTACTGGAACTTGCTGTAATTTTCATCGAACTTCTAAATGCTTGGGTTTTTCCTTCCACAATTTGACCTCCGTTGTCGCCACCACCCGCATCCGTACTGCTACAATCAGGAACAGAGCTAAAGCTCCTTTATCTGTCACTTGCTCAGCAGCTAAGCCGTCGTCCTCCACCGAAATCAGGTAATTATCTGTTTGACACACAGAGACACTTTTATGATGAGAGATGATTCGTTTTCGATCGAATTTCACCGTGAGGCTTCCTTTTGTGTTCGATTTTAAGGCTGTTCAGTTGTTACAATGCAGATTCACTTATTATAACTTGTGAATTGTGATTATTGAGTTGTTCGAATTTCAATTCTATCTCAGTTCATTTGTCGTGTCGTGGTACAATTTGTTTACAGTTGCACATTTTAGATAGTATGTAGCTATGATTTAGGCCTTTTCTTTAATATCGTGTGAAGAGGTTAGAGGAGAGACCGAGTATGATCTTACATATAAATGGATTGGAAACTTCCACTGCGCAAATGAATCAGGGTCATGATTCAACTTTGCTTATTGAAAGTAAATTAATCTTTTTTGAAGTTTGAATTTAAGCTCAGTAGCTCATCATTTAAGCAGACTTTTCTCACATTCAGATCGTAAGGAGGCATGTGCTATTGCACCCAAGTATGTAATTAGAGATTAGTACTTCATACTTGGAATTATTGGTGAGACTAGACTGATTGAAACTCTTTTACTGCACTTATTACTTTGTGTATTAAAATTTTGTTGATTGTGGAAGAACTTGGGAATCACAATATCACATGAACATTGCTCCAGCAACTTCAAAATTTCCCTTTCTGTATTCTGCAACTGTATTGAGATGTTTTATTTTTTTTTAACTTTTGGAGTCTGGACAAAGAAGAAGGAATATCGATTTAGACCTAGAGGCAATAGGAATTATATACGGCAAATAAACTCATATACACTCCCCACCTTTGGTGAGGTTTGAACCTTTGACCTCTAGGAAGTAGGGCTGTAAACGAACCGAACGAACACGAACGGAGGCTTGTTCATGTTCGTTTGTTTAACTTAACCGAACAAACGAACGAACACGAACGGTAAACGAACGAACACGAACGGTAAACGAACGAAAATCTTTGTGTTCATGTTCGTTCGTTTAGAAATCAGGTGTGTTCGTGTTCGTTTATGTTCATTCGTTAACATGCTAAACGAACGTAAATGAACAAACATAAATGAACGGACTAAACGAACATAAATAAATATTATTTGAATTTAAAGTAAATAAACAAATAATTATATATTAAATTTAGTATAAACGAACATAAACGAACAAATATAAACGAACGGTAACCAAACGAGCGTTCACGAACATAAATGAACGGGACTCTTGTTAATGTTCGTTCGTTTAACCAAACGAAAAAAAAAATTGTTCATGTTCGTTCATTTATTATTTATTAAATAAACGAACATAAACGAACTTTCCGCTGAACGTTCGGTTCGTTTACAGCCTTACTAGGAAGGTTGGATTACCGCAGTCCGCATACCACTAGGCCAAAGGCCCTTTGGTTTTCCCTTCTACAAGTTTGTTAAGTAAAATAAACCCCTCAACATTGTTAAATCCTCCCTGCACTTTTTTAACACATTAAATTCTGAAGTTTTTGTGAAGATACCTTTTATTACAATCAAGTTCTTAGTTTGTTTGCTCTTCAGTTCTACAGCCAGGATTAGGAGTGAAGTTCTTACTCCTTTCAGATCCGTCAGGATGTTCTTTTATATTGCCTTTGTTGCACAAGCTTCTCTTGGTGGACTGATAGCTACTACACAACTTATTGGTGCTCTGGCTAATCCTTCAAGAGCAGATGCAGTCACTGATATTACCAAGGGACTTGGCATAGACATAGGAGCTGCATCTCTGTTTGCATTTCTGTACTATAGAGAAAACAAAATTAAGAATGCCCAGATGGCCAGGCTCTCAAGAGAAGAGAACCTCTCAAACCTTAAACTGCGGGTAGATGAAAAGAAGATTATTACTGTTAGTGAATTTAGGGGACTTGCCCGTCTTGTGATCCTTGCTGGACCTTCATCATTCATTACAGAGGCTTTCAGACTTAGTGAGATGTTTACTGAGCAACTTATAGAAAGAGGGGTGCTTGTGGTGCCTTTCTCCACAGATGGAAATGCACCTACTTTTGAGTTTGATGAGACTGAAGACATGGAGGAGCTAACAAACAAAAGAAGAAGGCTCTGGCAGCTTGTACCTGTCCTCACGCCAGAATGGTCCGAGTAAGTCCTAAAAATATTCTTTTCTAGATCTGATGATATAAGGCACCTGCAAAACATGCTTTATTTATTGCCTTAACTAACGGTAGAAATAGTGCAAACCATATTTCAAAAGCTCATAAACTAAATGGGGAAAACAGAAGTTTTCACCCCTTTCCATTTACTTACCTTTGTATCTTAAAAAGAAAACACAACATAGAAAAAAGCAAATGAGCATACTTCTGTCTTTAGTAAGTCAAATGAAGATTTGAGGTAGAAAAAAAGCTCTTTGACTTTTCCATAATCTGCTCCGTTCTCTAGTAAAAACTAGACATGATCTCACATATTTTCCTATAAACCAGGTGGTTAGATGATCAGAAGAAACTGGCCAATGTATCACCTGAATCTCCTGTGTAAGCCATTTTCTCTTTTATCTTCTGTTTAGCCTTATGCATGCTGAAGATATGTTTTGAATATTTCATGCACCCACATAGCGGCAAGTCATTGTTTTTTTCACATTCACAATTTTAGGTTGTTTTACCTATTGAGAAATATGAACTCTGAAAACATCTTGCTTAGTAGGACAATATAACATAACTTATTTCATTTTATCATAAATAAGCCTTCACACAGAGTTTCCTTTTATGGCTAGGTGATGCCCATGAATTTCAGCTTGTTTTGAAAATTTAATGTTCAAAGACCTGCATCATGAATTTATTACTTTGCGAATTTGAAGGTATTTATCTTTACGGTTGGATGGTCGTGTTCGTGGGAGTGGTGTGGGTTATCCACCTTGGAATGCTTTTGTAGCACAATTACCTCCAGTAAAAGGAATGTGGTCTGGCCTTCTTGATGGCATGGATGGAAGAGTCCTTTGAGAATCATTTAGCCATCCAAATTTATGGAGGTTTGACTCATCTTCAACAATACCCTTAATAATCATGAAAAGATATATTATTTTTATAGATTCACTATTACTTCAATCAACAGATAATCATTTACAAACTCAATGAATCATACAAAGCTACAAACCTGTTTTCATGTGTTCTTTCACATATGAAACAACATGTGTCAAAATGCAGGTTTATATAGTGTTATTCATATGTGACACGTTCATGACTTTTTTATGTGTAGAAAAAAAAAACAAGCTGGACGTTTCACATATGAAACAACATAGTATAAACACTGCATTTTCACACGTGTTGTTTCACATATGAAACAACACATAAAAAACTGGTTGTCATGTTTATACAAATTATTGGGTTTGTAAAAGAAGACTCTACTTTGATATTGGTTATTCACAATCATCCTTTTGTATTTTCTTGTTTGTCACCCATAATACCAGTTTATTCCAATACTTGGTGGCATTTGGTTAATATTCAGAGCATTCAGGTCCATTTTTGCTCTTCTTTACTTCATTGAAACAAACAGAAGGTGATTCATCTTTCCAAGTTTCATCTCTTCATATCCAGAGTAGATTTCAAGTTTAACTCTTTGTTGATTTAGTGGTTTATTTTGCAGAACTTCAACTCTTTAGAGCAACAAGTATGAATATATTTGCGCCACATTGAAAGAGATATCGACTACTTTGACCGTGAGTCTGTGACTTGTTCAACTTTCTCAGTATGTGGTTTTTTTATAGCAGGAGACATGTAGTCTACATATGATATTTCTAAACAACTTTTCTTATATTAATACTAACTTCATCATATTAACTATTCAGATAACATTATATCATGTAATTATTGTGAATCTAATTGAATTAAAGAGTGTACATAAATGTAGTTTTGTAGAGGGAGGTTCATTTAGTAACCTTAAATATTTAAGGAGCCTTTATTATTTTAGGAACCTAAGAACCACCCTTTTTGTGAGTATTCATGATGAATATTTTATATCATGATGAATACTCACAAAAAGAGTGGTTCTTAGGTTTCTAAAATAGTAAAATATTTAAGGTTTCTGAATGAACCTGCCCCTACCCTTGTATTCAAATATCAGCAACTTTGTTGCATGACCAGATCACCCGGCTTTGGCTAAGTGGCATATGTATGATGGTATCTTATAACCGATTCAACAGCTAGCAAACCATATATTTGATCATATTTAGGCGCTCGAGAAACTGAGTAACTATTTTACAAATTCATTGGCAAAAAATGTAGCAAAAGATTGAAATTGAAGGAATTCTACAATGACAACATGAACAACAAGTTAACCTAAACTTCCTGGATCTCATCCAATGCATAGTTGTTTGTCGATACATTTGCATAATTGACTTTGTTGAACCGCACAACAACTGGATAGCGAGTCTTTGGATCCTGCACATCACATTATACTGTATGAACATCAACACCCCTACATAAATACCCTCGATGCACTCACATTGTTATTAGCTTTACCTGATCAACAGTCACAACTGATCCAACACCTTTAAACCAGTAGGACTCCTTCCGGAGAATTCTCACCTGCGTAGATAATATAAATATTATTGACAAGTTATTCTAGGCATTCCCACATGGCTAAACTACATCGATATTATGTAACTGCATGTTCTCTGTTTAGAGTCTTTCATTGGCTAGACTTGGACCTTTTCTCCTTAATATATGTTGGAACCTGCCTTCTCTCCTCAAGGGCTCTTCTGGAGTAACCTAATAGGGTTCCGCATCTACTCACATGGTATCAGAGCCAATGTCTTCCCCTCTAGGTCTTGATACTTTTGGGCAATCTATATTTGTCTGGCATCCTCTCGACACTCTAGGACAATCTAGTGTCCATCTAGCCTCCATTAGAGGGCATGTTGGAGTCTCACATCAGCTAGACTTAGACCCTTTCTCCTCAATATATATTGGAACCTCCCTTCTCTTTCAAGGGCTCTTTTAGACGGTAATCTAATAGGGTCTACATATATATTCTCACGAATATAATATTGCACATATATATAGATATAGATATTACAAATGATAAGAGTTCGAGGCCTATAGTATACTCTACGTGTTCAATTCCGTCTTTATAAATAACAAATAACATAAACTTTAGCCAGTGCACGAACGATGCATTTAATTATACTTTGTTGTGCATTTACCTTGGTTCCTCTCTTGGGTCCAATCGGTGGTGGCTTAGGTGCAGTTTCAGCAGCCAGTGGAGCGGCAGCAGTCGGTGGTGCCGCCTCATCGGCAGCTTTTACAACCAGTCTTGAACTTCTGGTATTCTTGGAAGAAAACATAAGCATGGTGCACCTAACAGTGGTTGTGTTGGAGGTCAAATTTGGTGTCACCATAAATCCAGTAGCAGCAGATGCCATACTGCAGCTTGCCATCCTCTCTCTCTCTTTCTCTGTCTCTACAAACAAAGGTATGTAAAACTAGTTTTTGAAGTTGGTTTGATGACTTGAACAATTAAATTAATTGGATTTTTAGTTAATAGGAGTAGGAGGCCGAGGGAGTATCTTTTTCTTGGGGAATACGAGTGATTGGAAGTAGTCTCAATTGCTTCAGCCAATCAGGGATTGCCACATGGACACCCATATCCTTTATTTGGATAATGTTATCCCACATCATTTTCTTTCTGGACTCGGCCCATTAGACTGTCATTTGGACTTCAGACCAACATGGGGTTTGTCTAATGTTTTTGTTTTAAGTTTTGGAATGAATCGAATGAATCATTTATAAAAATAAATTATAAGTAATTATAAAAAATAATTAAATTATTTGATTATTAAATGTTAATCAATATAACGGTGGTGTCTGATTGGTTTGAGTTTGGCTTGAGTTTGGCTTCAAAGGTAAAAAGTATCAGGAGGTCTCAGGTTCAAATCCAAGTAGAAATAAGAATCCCATTGTAGCAATGGAGATTCAAATATGGTGACTCCGGGCTATCTGCAAAGCAGATGGTCACCTTGAGATTAGTCGGCTCGCATACCGGGTTGGATATTCAGGTTAATAAAAAAAATCATGTAAAACAATATTTTAAAATAAAAATTCTCACAATATATAAAGTTTTCATTTGATTACATCTAATGATAGATTATGTTTAATAAATTGTTTTTAAATTATTTATTTAATTATCAAAAGTTAATAATATTAATAAAAAAATTAAAATAAAATAAAAACAAATATGTTGAGAGTGGGATTTGAACCCACGCCCTTTCGGACCAGAACCTTAATCTGGCGCCTTAGACCAACTCGGCCATCTCAACTTACACGTTCTGTTTTCCAGAAAGAATACTAATATCATGAAACAAAAATTTATCAGTTCTCACCCCAAACTATATCTCAATTGCAGATTCAGTCCCTCTAAGTTCAAGTTTACACTACTCTTCGTCAAACACAAGTAGGAAAAAATGGCCAACGATTTTAAACCGTGTAGTGATTGCGCTTTCACCTCGAGAAAGCATTATCAATCGAAGCTACGGAAATACATCTTGTTTCCGTTACAGTTGTAATTGTATTTTGAATACGTGCAAGTTTCTAATCGATTTGATTCAACTTTTACTAAGAAAAAGGAAGAACGAGTATTGAACTTATTTTGGTCGGAAAATTGATCATCGACCTAAAAGTGATCAATCTTAATTAAACCAAAAGCCAAAGAGATTGGTTGTTTACATCTTAATAGTTCCATTAAGTGGCAGTCTCTGAACCGTTAAGAGGTGAATCTTGTTTGATAAAAAAAAATTATCACTCGAAAGGTGAGTATGAGAGGGGTGAGATGTATGCAGATTTTTCATGTACCTCAAAAGGTAGGACGATTGTTTTCGGAAAGACTCCTGACTTGTCCAAAAGTGTGAGCGAAAAATAAAAGGAACGAAGAAAACCAATGGTAGTAAATATTAAGAAGCAGAAAAGGAAGAAAAATGCAATGGGAACAGTGGAACTTGTATAAATTAAAGGAACATGTACACCCTTTCATTTGTTGTTTATACAGTTTGAGCATTTTCTCCAACTGTAAACCGCACCGCATATACTTGAAACCGCAAAAAATCGCACCATATTTATGCGATTTGTATCTCGCACAATTTACGTCTACAATCCAATAACTGTAAGATTAGAACTTCATTATAAAATCAACGATAACATGACCGTATTCTAAACAAATGAAAAGTTTAAATACATTTGACACACTAATACGTATTACATAATAAAAAATAGTCTAAGAAATAAAAAAATTAACTTCAAAGTAAAAGCATTGCATAAATTAGCCCAATTATTCTATATATGTTATACATACATACATACAGGGGCTTAATCAAATGAGAACTGTTTTATTTGTGGTAACCGTGAGATCCAATCTCAACCACTTAATATATTAATTATTCTTTTTAAATTAATGTAAAAGGATATGCTAGTAAATTACTAAATTTAGATTAAATATTTATTTATTAATTTCATACGTTTCAAACTTCCAATTAATTTTGATTTTACATTCCTAAATTACCACATGAAATTACAAACTTTTCTACCACAATATAACACAACATCTTGTGTTACCTAATACGCTATTGGTATTGTAACACCTTGTCCCACATCAGTAACTATTGGAATTTGTAGCCCCTTATGACTTATGAGTTCTTGGTTGTAGGCTACCAAATAATTCTCACCATGGGTTTAGTGGTTTGGACTTTGGAGGTTGTCTTGTATGGTTTGCTACTATGTGATTGAGATATTACACAAAGTGTAGTTGAATGCTCATTGACTGGATTATTTTTTTGTGTTTATGCAGCAACTTCACATCTCTGTTGAAACCACAATCTTTTGGGTAGCACATGAAGCCACAATCTTTTTTACCACAATGTAACACAACATGTTTAACCAAAGCCTACAAATTGTTTTCCACCTCTTTTCGCACAACCAACATGATCTTTTGTGTTTTTTGTTTTGATTTGATGAAATGTAATTTTAGAAGATTAACGGATTTCTAGGGTGCTCAAAATAGTCTCATTAAACTAAATTTTTTTTGACTCTTTTGCCCTTATTTACATACTCACATTAAATATTGGAGAGTTATTTTTGGAATTTCAGTAATTAAATTTTCTTTTATTTTCAACTATTGATTATTAATTTGTGTGCTTAAGATTAGATCACACAGTTAACACAAACAACTCAGTTCTTCCTTGAATGAGTCCCCATACATATATATATATATATATATATATATGTGTGTGTGTGTGTGTGTGTGTGTGTGTGTGTGATGTGCAGTGCGGTACGGTTTGAACTGTGGTTTGCTAATTCAAAACCGTAAACTGCAATACATAGTACGGTTTGGTAAAAGTACAAACCGTAAACTGCAATACATAGTACGGTTTGATAAAAATGCAAACCGCAAACTGCAACTCAAAATTTCTAAATCGCACTTTGTGATGCAATATAAACGATTTTATACAGTTTAGATGAACACCCATATTTCTATTTGTCAGTTGTATGACCCTCCCTCTATCCTACACTCAACCTATCTAATTAACTCCCTTCTTCCTATCCACTATAGCTATAGATCCCACCCTAAAACTATGAACTACAAATCGTTACCCCAAAGCAATTAATTACATAAAAAAATAACCTGAAATAACCCCTTAACTATTGCTTATGATAAATTGCATGAAAAAATAACGTACCTTAACTTGTACTTTTAAAACTTCCATTTTGATACATAAGATATAAAGTTTTAAACATTTAAGTACCCGAGTAACCGATTTAGGTACCAAAAGGTTTAAACCTCTATCTCAATGGAGAATCACCAACATAGACTAGCCTGAAATAACCCCTCAACCAGTAGTAGCGGAACACATGCCTTTTAACTGAGGTGGTCGTACTTAAAGAGAAGTGAAAAGAATAAATATTTAACATAGTGGACTAAGTTTTACCTATCTAAAAGATTAAAAAAAATTGTAGGGGCCCTGGCCCTGTCCCCCAGACGCCCCTATAGGCCTCCGCCCCTGCCCTTTAACGGTCCTTTGCGAAAACCTGCTAAAAAAGGTTTAAACTGGTCTTCATTCCATATCAGCCGAATTATTATTCTTGGTGATTTTATGCTTCATCTGTCGTCGTGATTTATCGGTAACTGAAAAAAATAACAGATAAAAAGGATCTTAAATATCTTAATTTAGAAATAAAATATAAATACCAATATACCATAAATGGGCATTTGCATGATAATAATGATTAATTAATATCACATTTAATAATTATTTTTATTAATTGACTTTAAATACCATGCATGACTTTTATTGCCAATAAAAACACATTTGTCAAAGGGAATACAATAATGGATTTTTAATGCTACTGCTTCACAACTTCAACCAGTTTATTTGAGTTGAATATTGACTCAAATAAATTTTAGTGGTTGAATGTGTGCATTTTTTGTGTTAAAATCAACAAATTTAATATGAAATACGAATTTAACAAGTTTAAACCTTGTGGGGTTAGATCAACTGGTAACGGAATTTGGATCTTTAGCGATTCTATCGGTTCGAGTCCTACAAAATCACTCGGGATTTTACTGGCTGTTCTCCAAGGTTGCCAAGGTTGAAATTTAGTCTGAACACCCACGATTGAAATTCAGATGTCATCGGTTCGAGGTGTGAACAAGTTAGCCCGAACATCCACAGTTGATTTTTTTTTCATAAATAAGACAAACCGGGTGATATTTAGCAGTGTACATCATGCCCCCCCTTTTGGTTTTTTGGGTTGGGGGGAATACCCCACGAAAAAGTAAGAGAAAAAGCATGAACTATTTTTTTGAACCTTAAATCTTGTATTTGTAACCAGAAGGGTGGTGTCTGATTGATTTGAGTTTGGTTCCAATAGTCAAAAGTACCTGGAGGTCTCGGGTTCAAATCCAATGAGGAATAAAAATTTCCTTGTGGCCACGGAGGTTCAAATGCAGTGACTCCGGGCTATCTGCAAAACAGGTAGTCGTCCTGGGATTAATCGGCTCGCATAACGGGTTGGATATCCAGGTTAATAAAAAAAATATTGTATTTGTTGTAATACATTTTCGTTGTTCCACCCAACCCAAATCTTTTTCCAAACGACCCATTGACTGCTTTTGGTGTCGTAATTATGAGCGATTTTGGGGTTTTTCTTTAATTGTTTTTGAAAGATTCAAGTCTGATGTTTCTTTCAGAATGTTTGCTAATTCTGTTATGCTCTTCGTCACCGTTAATGACGTTTTACTAATGATTTTCCGAATAATCCAAAAGTTAAAGAACCCGAAACCGTTTCAACTAAATATTTTTTGGAATCGATCGTTCATTCGACTTTGGATTTTTTTTTTGGTATCCTTAGATATGCATCATTATGTATATTATAAAATATATTTCATGATTTATTTTATACATATTTATGTATATTGAAAATAGTTATATTATACGACTTAGGATCACTTGAGACCAGCCTGTTTTCGTGAAACTCGTGAAA